AGGCTGAAAATCGTTTTCAATGGTACAGTTTCATGTGCAGTCTTTTATCTTGTCGCAAAATTTTTTTAATGTCCTCTATCTATCACAACCGAATTACATAGTCTACTTTATTTTTGAGCACGAATCATATACGTCATATTGATGATAATGATCGAATTCAAAATTATCTCTCTCTTGTTTTGGTACAGAGTATAATAATCCTATTGTAGTGAATGAGAACACCAGTGTGAGGACAACCGAATTGTATTTAACGAAAATTACAGAGTTACTCAGTAGTAAAATAGGAAAACCATATCGTAAATCGTTGTTAATTTGCAAAATATCAGTTCATCAGTTCATCATCATATCGAACTGGACTATCTGTTCCTGTTGCAAAACATCAACGATCCATTGTCACTACTATTCATGCGTTTCATGCACAAATTCCATTGTGTTCTTCTAACTCTTCCTCCTTTCTTGTTGATCTTCCCCCATCCTCTTCTGCTGCCAGACATTACGTTGACACTCACGTCATATACTACTACTTATAAGTAGCTCACACCACACTCGTCCCCCATTTTAATAAGCTGTCGTCGCAGTCTTTCAAAACAGGGACCCTGGTCAGTTAATATCACCTTCGCATTCCGTGACACGCTACAATATGCCGGATTACCACTTCGGTCATCGTTCTTGCGCGCTGGTCTGGAATGGATACGGCATCTATCCAACGTGTAGCGTTTACTAGTTCCTGCTGCTGGAACACGGCGTCAGGCACACTCGATAAATTGCGACGCCAAAAACTGTGTCCCCGACTCCCCATCCATACTCGACAGAGTACGGCGCAGCAACATCGTGAGCTCCAGCACCAGCGGGTCACCATCAGCCGACAGGCTCGCCAACCAGAACCTCTGCGGCGCCTCCTCCTTGTCCACCGGGCTGTCGAACTTCGTCATCAGCCGCCCGGTGACCGTCTCCCACGCCATCTTCCTGGCGGCACCGTCCAGGCTGTCGTATACCGCCTTCGCCTCACCTCCCCGCAGCGTCCCCAGCACCGTCAACTCCACCCCGGGCCCCCACCAGCTCCACCGTGGCCTCAAACTCCTCCAGGAGGCTCCGCAAATCTCCGTCCTGCAGCTCATTCGGCCACGGGAGCTCCTTCCTTCGAGCAGGCAGCGACACCAAATGTAGTGAACAAGAACACAGGTGAGGGCAAACGAATTGTATTTAACGAAAATTACAGAGTTACTCAGTAAAATCGGAAAACCATATCGTAAATCGTTGTTCATTTACAAAATATCAGTTCATCATCATATCGAACTGGACTGTTCCTATTGCAAAACATCAACGATCCATTATCACTCACTATTCATGCGTTTCATGCACAAATTCCATTGTGTTCTTCTAACTCTTCCTCCTTTCTTGTTGATCTTCCCCCATCCTCTTCTGCTGCCAGACATTACGTTGACACTCACGTCATATACTACTACTTATAAGTAGCTCACACCACACTAATACTACTAATAGTACTACTACTAATAATAATAATAATTGAATTGATTGTCAATCAAACTTCTAATTTTTTATTCTGTTATTTCAGGCATTAGCACTTACCTCGGCTGGATTATTATTTGTGTTATCACGTGATCGTGATCCAAATATATTGGATGTTGACTCGTTAGCAATTATATTGAAATTATTCTCTGCACCTGATAGTAGTAAGTAGTTGTTTAATAATAATAATCATATCAAGTAGACAGTAATGTTTATGTTTAATGATAGTAACATGATGCTTCTCCTACGTGTATTTGAAAAGTTTTTAATTTGATGTATTATTGATTAGTAGTGAGTGAGTGAGTGATATTCTTGTGTTTGTTTCCTTAACACCCTCCCCCCTCCCTCTCTCTATTGAAGAAGAGTTAAATAAACGTGTTAAGGTTTGTGTTTTTTTTATAATCAAACAGTTGACCTAACTTAATCATATGACTACAACTTGTCGTTGTGTTATCATTAAAGTTTATAGAATACATATTAGGCTTTTAGGTCCCTCCTCCTCCTCCTGTCTCTTATTATTTAATAATTCGATTTTTCTACTGAACTGATCAACAATTAACTATTATTACTATTATTATTATTATTACTACTTGGTAGAGTCAGTCATTCGGTAAGCAACAGCGTAGAACTTCCTACGTACGTACGTACGTACATCAGTTCAAGTTGCCATGCCGAATAAGTACGCAAAGACGTAATTGTCAACATAAATCCCATAGTGGTAGATGTTGTAGACAGATGTATTAGCGGTCCTACTTTATGTCCGTGAAACATGGCCAGTCAGAGTAGAAGATATTCGTAGGTTACTGGTTTTTGATCATCAGTGTCTCCGAAGCATTGCTCGTGTATCATGGGACAACCCAGTAAGCAATGCTGTTGTTAGGAAGTGGGTACTAGGTAAGTATGGTAGCTCATTAGATGAAGTATTAAAACTTCATCGGTTGAGGTGGTCGGGACATGTGTTACGTATGACAAACCACCGACTGCCGCGACGAGCTATGTTTTGTGGTGTAGGTTCAGGCTGGAAGAAAGTTAGGGGCGGCCAAAACAAAACATGACAGAAATCCATGAAGTCATTGACAAGTGAACCGAGTCGTGTCGGTAGGTGTTGACTACCTAGTTTTGGCTCACGAGACGATAGTAATCGATGGTTAGAGACCCTGAATTACAAGGTTTAGAACTGTTTGCAATGGCACAGTGGCATTGATTCTTTGTGTTTTCTCAAATCCTAACCTTCTGAATTCCTCATCACCTTTATCTTTTTCGTTTTAAGTTACTTTCACTAGATTCTACTTCTTGAATAATATCGTCGAACCTTAATCTCTTCGATTACTGCTAATAATTTTACTGCTTCTACCACTATGGGATTTGAATTGAAAACTCAATCTCTTTGTGTGATAATGTGGTATGGCAACTTGAACTGATGTACGTACGTACGAAGTTCTATGTTGCTGTTGATTGATTGTTTGATTAGCGGTAGTGGAGAGAAGATTAGGGTTCGAAGATATTTATTCAAGAAGTATAATCCTCCGAAATAAACTTTAAAATAGAAAGCTAGAGGTCATGAGAAATTCAGCGAGAAGACAAACGATTGATGTATGTGCGCCTCGGCAAATGATTTTGAACCATGTCTTTCAAACAAGGTCTCTAACCATCGGTTACTATCTTCTCGTGGACCTCAACCAGACAGGTCGTTCCTACTAATATGGCTCAGTCTAGTTGTCAGTGACTTCATAGGTTCGTACTAATGTTTCGGTGTGGCCGTCCCTAGCTTTCTTCCAGCCCACCTCTACACCATAAAACATCGCTCGTTGCGAGGCAATCGATGGTTGGGCATAGGTAACAGTAGAACTTGCAATTCGATCACCATATCATGTTCATCTTACAAAAAAAACCTGATTCAAATATTTTGCCTGTTTTGTCTAGTTTCGGTTTAGTGTTTTCAGAAAAAAAAACACAATCTTCCACAATTGAGCATAGTTTTTATGATTATTACTCTACTGTATATGTGTACTGTGTTGTTCTGTTTTCAGCTAATACCAATACTGGTGCTGGTAGTGGTCATTCTGATCTGAGTAAAAATAAAGAAGCTGAACGTGTACGTATGCGTGTTCGTCAACTCTTGGATGGTTTACATCAAAACAATTCAAAGAGTTTAACATCATCATCACTCTCTTCAACTTGTCCAGATGCGATTGTAGCCAACAATGCCACTAATCCGATATCATCAAATCAATCACTATTCTCTAGTGGAAAACGTTCAATCCTACCGGCTGGATCTAAAGTATTGACGAATTCAAGTTTAAATACACGACATTTACAGATTACACGTCAGTTGACAGTAAGTGTTTGGTAAATACATTTGTTTCTATTTAACTAATATATATATATATATATATATATATATGTAGTTTGATCGGTTGTCGTCTGCTAAGTGTAATAAGTTTAACGAATAGGTGTAAATGTAAACTGGGAGCTCCACATAGTTGTTTGCATTACTTACTTACTTACGCCTGACCAGTCTTCTCCAACCTAATCTATTCTGGGCCTTCCTTTCTAGTTTCTGTCCAATCTCGGGAGTCTCATCAGTGCTGATGGCCTGGTGACTGACGAAATCTCAACACGGATACAGAACACTCGATTGGCTTTTGCCAACCTGCGTCAATTATGGCGTAGGCGAGATATCCATTTTCTGATTAAAGGACGGGTGTACTGCGCAGTAGTTCGCTCCGTTTTACTTTATGGCTGTGAAACATGGCCAATGAGAGTAGAAGATACTCGTCGTTTATTGGTTTTCGATCATAGGTGTCTTCGAAGCATTGCTCGTATATCCTGGGACACCCGAGTGAGCAACGCTGTTATTAGGTATCGGGTGCAAAGTAAGAATGGCAAATCGATAGATGAAGTAATGAAACTTCATCAGTTGAGATGGTTGAGACATGTGTTGCGTATGCCTAACCACCGACTGTCTCGTTGAGCTTTGTTTTGTAGTGTAGGAGTAGGTTGGAAGAAAGTTAGGGGCGGCCAAACCAAAACATGAAACAAATCCATGAAGTCACTGACAAGTGGACTAAGCCATGTCGGTAGATGTAAGCTATCTGGTTGGGATCAGCGAGATGATAATAATCGATGGTTAGAGACCTTGAATGACATGGCTCAGAATCGTTCGCAATGGCGCCGGTGCATTTATTCTTTGTGTTCTCTCAAATCCTAATCTTTTGGATTCTTCAACCCCTCTTGTTTTGACCCTTCTAAACTTTTCTCATTGAATCATACTTCTTGTATAATATCTTCTAATCCTGACCTCTCTGATTACTTCTACTACCTTGACTACCTCTTTTACTATTGGATTTGAATTGTCAGTTACATCTCTGTGCTGATGTGGTATGGCGACATGAACTGATGTACTTACGTACGGAGTTCTACGTTGCATCTGACTTTGACTGATTTTCTGTCCAATTGTTGTTCGTTCTCCGTATGTCTGTTTTCATTTCTTCACGTAATTTGTTCCTTGGCCTTCAGGATTCCATGTGAGGACTTGTCTTGTGGTGCAGTTGGGTGCTTTCCGAAATGTGTGTCCTATCCACTTTCAGCGCTTCTTCCTGAATTATTCCTCCTCCAGTGCAATCTGGTTTGTTCCGAAGTATGGTTGAATGCATTGCTTTTAAGCGTACATGGAGTTATCATCAAGTTAGTTAACCAAACTACTTAGTTACATGTACTGGGTTAACAAAATTACACCACATGAACAATTCTATCACTAGTCACTAATTTACAACAAACACTTCAGTCCAGCTGCACTTACTTACTGTACAATCACAGCTGTTCTGATTACTAACCTCGTCCCCGTACTTTTTAATTTTTAAAAATATCTGTATCATTTGTAATTTTTGCCGTCTGTCTCATCTATCTATACCAACCATCATAATGTTTATTTGTTTGTCTGTTATAATAAACTGTTTAGACCTCCGATTTGGTGATCGAATCAATTTTAAACTTTGGTACACGTAAAGCAGGTGATTGGTTCAAAGTGGAACTACGGAATGGTGGTGGCTTAGATAAAGTTGCTGATGCAGCTTCAGATGCTGTCGACTATTTGGCAGATTTAGATCCAAACAATAATAGCACACGTAAATCGACAACTGTTTGGTGGCGATCTAGAACTAATCTAACAGGTATTGATAACTTCGCATTAGATCGATTGAAACGAGTTTGTCATTATACTCGATTGTTAGAAAATGTAAGTTTTATTTTTTCTCTGTATGAATTTTGTGTACGTGTGAGAATTGTAAATCTCATTTATTGTTTTCGTTAGAAGTATGGGGAGTGGTTATCGCTTCCCAGCCACTCACACCATGAAAAGGAATTTGGATTAGCATTGGTCTTAATGATCACATAGTCTGAGGGATAACTGCTTGATGAGGCAGGTCGCTCATGGGTTTTTATGATAAGTTCTTGAGCTTGTTAGCTTCGCTCTTTAAAAGATCTAACCTCCGACCATGAAAATCCGTAGAATAAGTTAAGGTGTGACATTTTAGGGTTGACCTTTCCTAACCGGTTCCTTCCGTCGTGAGAAGACTATCGGAGAGAAACATTTCATTGCTGTTCACTTTCCTCCTCTACAGTCAGCAGTACGACTTCGCCTCCAAATTTTGAGTTGCTACTTTTAGTCTTACCGTCCCCCGACTGACCATCCTGGCGTTCAATCCAATTAACATTTCTCAGCTGGGTCATCACGATAAGCAAGCCTAATGACCACATCAAGGTAGCAGCTGTGTTTTAATAGTTTTGAAACTAAATATTTAATTAGTAAACCTTTACATCATACTCAATCGCATATGTATTTCCATTTGAGATCATTGACAATCAATGTATTTTGTTGCTTGGTGGGCGGGCGAGCTTGCATAACTTTTGTACTGTGATGTAGTAGGCTGAAGTAAAATTAAGGGTGGCCTAACTCTAGGATGTAGCATCAGTCCATGAAGACATTATCTGTTGAACTGAGCCATTTAGATAAGTACCGATTACCTGGTTCAAGTTTACTTGACTATCATAACCAAAGGGTTACAGACCTTGTGAATGAAAGCAATTCAAATGCATTCACATTTACCCAATTGCACTCAACCAACCATCCTCGTCTCCCTGATATCCCAAGTTTGTGCATCAGCATACA